TGCACAGACTTAGTGACAGGAGCTATTGGAACTAAATGTTTTCATTGAATTTGACAACAGCAACAGGTAGATGTACAGATAGCCATAAGTTTATCATAAGCATAGTACAATTGGTTGTGTAAGATATATAAATGCATTAAAATTGATGTTGGCAACTTCTAGGTTTTTTAGAATTTAATATTATTGCATCATTGAAGAGGTGATTATGATTTACATGTGATGGTTGCCTGGTGAAGAATAGATTCAAATTTCTTGAAGTGGTTTTGGCATTAGAGTTACGATAGGAAATTTCTGAATGTGCTTTGGATGTGAATCTTTTGCTCTGTAATTAATAAACAGGGTTGTCAGTAAGTCTTAAGCCTGTAACATGTAAATAAACATGTAACATGTAAATAAAGACAAAATCAAATTAATTAATCAAAGAAATAAATTTAATAGAAATAACAAAAGCAATTTGATATGTCCTCAAAGGCCCTTGAAAGCTGAATCCTCGTATCTTCATGGATGTCTCCAGTGTTCAAACATTCAATAATCAAGGGTGGCAATTTTAACATGGCAGTCGGGCCTTCATTGAATTGAAAACCAAGTGCGGGAGTCTTGTGTTGGTCGAGCTTATTCATCAGCATGCAAACAGCACAGGTTACAGGGCTAAACACTGGCGGCCGCACGGTCGCCAGTGGCGAGTGAAAACTGACTAGGGCCACCAAAAGTTAAGGTTTGAACGCCCGATGAGCGATTACGCTCCTGAACTTCGAAAAGTTGCGATGTAAATTTTGCGAAGTAGAAAGTTAAAAATCAAACTGAATGTGTAGTTTAATAGGACTATCCTTCGTTTCTTTGCCTGGACTCTAAGATCATCCATTTTAGTGACTTTTAGTTCTGAAGTGGAAATTCCGAGCCGTTTTATCAGTGATTTCACGAGCGATTCACATTCAGAATATAGACGCCATATCGATTTTGTGATTGCCACATGACTCAGGACTTACCCAGGGTTCCGTCGGGATGGTTTCGTAGCGCACGTTTTCGCTTTGAGAACAGACTTTACACCGAGAGTTGAATGTAGATTTGGGACAAAAATGTGGAGATTCCTCCCCGGTTGTCAGCCGCCGCCAAAAAAAGTATAAAGTAAGGAAGATGTCTCCGAAAGTACTAAAATTTACTTTTACAATGGTTTTTATAACAAGTGCAAATAAATTCTTGCAGTTTACTTTATTTACTTAAAAATAAATAAAAACACCCAACACCTCTAATAATTTTATAGCGCTAAATGAATGGCCAAAATTTTAATATCTTAATAATATTAATTAATAATAATGTCTCATTACTGGGGGCATCGCCTTTTTGTGTTCTTTCCTTTTAGTTAACGCTCCGTTAAAAGTGATGGGGCGTTTATTCAAGTTTTTCATTTTAAACTAGAGGAAATCGAGGGCTACTTCATTTTGGGATGGGCCATTAAGAATTCAAGGAAACTGGCCCGACTGGCCACCAAGCACTGGAGTTAATTTTTAGCCCTGCAGGTTGTATTGCGAAGTTTGCTTCTCACATTGGCTTGATATCCTCTGGTCTCCTGACATTGACAGTATGGGCAATTTTGGTCTCCTTCATGCTGTGAATCTCTTGTGTGTATTAGCATGCCAGTGTTTTCAACATGTTAACGTCTGGATGAGTTATAACTTAGTACATACCTACATACTTCATTTGTCCCAAATGGGTTCCTCAGAATAAAGAAATAATTAAAACTATATACTAACTAGTAATAACCACAGGTTAGAAAGTGCGGGCCTGAATACAATTGAATAGCTTTTGTTTAAGATGTTGGGAACGGGCAGAAAATTAGTAATACGACCATGTGTATTTTGAAAGTGCAAAATACACGTCTACCTTTATAGATATTTTGGGCAGACTTGTACCCAGTCTCTTCTCATCATTTGCTTAAAGGGAGCGCGCTAAGAGATGCACGTGGACTTGCAGAGTGCAAAAGTAACGACTAGGTACGAGTCTGTATTTTGCCTGAAGTCGTCTACATGTTGTTGAGACGCATTTGAGTTGCTGTTGAATAAGTGACATAATTTTTTGGTAGAACACAATATTTATTGAAAAGTAGAAACATCAACCTAAGATTTACTGTAATAAAGGTTTTAAGAACTGCAAACATGAACGGGTTCTAATCCAGTAGTAACATAAATGTTATTGTAATAAAAGTTTTGAGAACTGCAAATGTCAATGGTTTCCAAAAAGTTGAACATACATTTTAGTGTCAAGAAGTTTGAATAACTGCAACGTCAACGGGTCTTAATCGATTATAACCATAAGTTTCCCTTAATAAAGGTTTGTAAAACTTCAAATGCCAGTGGGTTGTAAAACGTCCAATATTGAACATAAGTTTCATTGAAATGAAAGTTTCAAGGAATCTACACGGGTTCTAATGGATTATTGACAAATGTATTACTAGAATAAGTTTCGAGAACTGCAAATGTCAATGGGCTCTTTAAAGTCCAACATAAACATTAGTTTTGTTGTAATAAAAGTTTCTAGTAATGTGGACGGGTTTATTCCAGAACATCCAGTATAAAGTTTTATGTAGAATATATTAGTAATTTCACATTTTCCAGGTAAAGTAGTCCTTCTTTGAGTTCATCTGTTGTGTTGTTGCATGACAGATCTACTTTGTTGATCAAGATTTTCATGACGTCTGTAAAGGCTGTCAGCCAGACATCTTTACCATCGATTTGTGCACATAAATGTGCAGACATGCCCTTTTCACATGCTTTGACCTTTTGACAGGTGCCACAACTAGCACAAGTAATGACTTTGCAATCAACAGCATATGGCATTTTCTTTTTGCAGTTTGGAATCTGACAAACCATGAAGGTGTTTACTTTATCTGTGAATTTAAATTCCTCTACTGTTATTGTCTTTTTAAGGTTGGTTAACAACTCTTTTCCTTTTATGTCTTTCAGTAGGGTATCAATTGGAGTGAACGTGGTTTCTATTGTTGTTCCGAGGTGCGTCTTCCCATTGAAGTTTTGACACTGAGATTCTTTATGTCATAGCTTTGTCCAGTGGTCAACGCTGTAATAGTGTCATCCTAAAGATGGATGATGGCATTGCCTGTTTTGTCTTTGAGAACACAGTCTTCTTTTACGCTCCCTTTGGAACCATTTCTTTTGACAAGTTCTTTTGGCTCCAAAGAACCCATTGTTAAGGTTGCCTTTACGTTCACTCATTTGGTTTCGTGTTAGTTTGTCAAGCTGTTGTAATGTAATATCTGTGGCAGATGAGTCAGGGAGGTTGGCTGATGATGAAGTGCCTGCAGGAGAATGCTCTTTGCATGGATCAAAATTGACATCACTTGAATTAGCTTTGATGAGTGAGGTGTACTGGTTTATGAAGATTTGGCCATCATCTTCCGTGGCACTCAATATTTTAGAAGGTGACTTTGTTTTCTCAAAGTGAATGGCTTGCTGGTGGGTTTTCAGGTCAAAGCCAATGACTTTAGCAAACTTATCTGGAGATGTTTGGAAGCTAAATGTATAATAATCTGTACCAGATTTTCCTTTTTTCATTGCTGACACTGAGTGCGCAAAACCAGGTGGAGTATCTGTAAAAAGAAACACACAAAAAATCAGAACTGAAGTAAATGAAATTGGAAGATTATAAATGGAAAATTTAGTTTACATATTCTTGTGAAGTGGGAAAATAACAATAAGAGTACAAACCTTTTCGCTTTGATGCCATGGATCTGTGAATGTAAAAGCACTGAAAAAAAAAAAACAAAATTCCAAATGCTATGCACCAGTTGTACTCATGATTGCTTGGTTTGAGTAATTGATATACTTTGCTTCTCAGAAAGTTGTCGTTGTATAATAATGGTTATAATAAACTTATTATATTTTATAATTTGTTTACATGCAAAACGTTGTTTGTTTATTGTATTATGAGAAAAGAAAGTGAAATTTCTGTCAGTTACTTGCCAATAATCTTGCCAATAATCTTGCCAATATACTCAGTTTTAGGATTACTTTGAACAAGGCAGTGTGACTTACTGTATGTTGATGTTGTTCATTAATAGTATAGGTAGATGTATATTAAATATTATGAATTGGATGATGAAGTTAATACATTGATATGTAGTTGAGTTCAGTGAATGGAATTTAAGGTGGTATTGTTTGCCAACATTGAAAGGCGCTCTTCTTCTTGTAGCCTGAACTGTAAGTTTGATGCATTCTTTATAGTCTTCAAATGTTCAAATGACATTGGCTCAATAACACAAGAATCTAGTGTTTTCACCCTACTGATTGCAACATATGTCATGCTTGCTGTTCGTTCTCGTGGACCAATATCTATCCAAGCTTTTTCTAGAGTAAGTCCCTGGCTTTTGTGTATTGTTGTAGCCCAGGCAAGCCTTAAAGGTAATTGCTGTCTTTCATGAAAAGTATCAAGTGAATGAGAAGTTACTGTGATAGGGCACACTGGTACACATTTTGATAGTAACTCAGTAAATGATGACCCTGTGTAATAGTCAAATTTAACCATAACTGCTATTGGTAAATCTGGTTGTGAGTGATTTTCGGCAAATATGATGTCTACAACTTTTCCAGTAGCTCCATTACACAGTCGAACTTCTGGCCATAAATTCATTGTAAGCATTACGGAAGCATGTCTGGCAAGAAATAAGATAGGTACTAATCCAGACATTTCATCAGAAGGTAATGATTTAGAATGGCGAGCTTGAATGCAAGCTACTGGTTGAGAAAGCTTCAGCAGTTCTTGGTGATTGTACGCAGCAACATCATCGTTACCATAAAATAATTTTATAGCATCGTCAAATTTATTTAGATTTGCAACCAGTGATGGTTGACGAGATAAAAGAAGTTGCCAGTCTTGTTCAGTAGAATCACCAGTGCGAAGACGCATCAATAAATTTTTAAAGGCAAGCTGCATAGCACTGGAGCCCTGTACCCTCTGATTGGCAGATAATCTTACTACTTTATCAAACATTAAATATGCAATGTTGCCTTGTTCGCCAATAGGTCCTGTGGTTTGTCTGCAACAGGTGGTAACTGTGCTGGATCGCCTACCAAAATAATAGATTTTCCCCCAAAAATTTCATCATGTAGTCCAGTTGCTTGCCTGCATCGTTTGTCAATCCGGCCAAGCAATGTCTGGCCGAGCATAGAATGCTCATCGATTAAGATATATTTAACATCATGTAACCGGTCTTGCAACCTTAAAAGAGACTGTCCTTTAAGATCATTGTTACCTCTTGGACCAATAGGTAAATTTAATAGTGAATGAATTGTTTTGCTATTGATATTGAATGATGCCTTTCCAGTAGTGGCAGTCACAATGCAAGATAGCTGTAGTAGAGATCTTAAAGCACTTATAAGGTAACTTTTGCCAGTTCCTGCAAATCCATTTATTATTAAAAGTAAGGGTGGTTCTTGGCTTGGGCTTTCAAAGTGTTCTTTAACTAAATTGTATGCAAGTGCCTGCATATCACTGAAAGTATTGATGTTTATGTTGTTGAAAGGGTTATTTGAAGTTTGATAAATATATGTTTGCTTTTGAGAAATTATCCAGGATGGCATTTCAGCTACTTGTTGTGAAGTATATGGGTAAGAGGTTGTCTGCCAATTATGTAGCGAGGAAGCTTCAGGATCACTTGAATTGTTTGAAATAGAAAAGTCTGCTAAAATCATCCATTCTTCACGTTGCTCTGATTCAGTATACTCTTCAGTATGTAAATCAGAATCAGAATATACCTGTAAACCTTCAAGTTTGTCATGCCAATCAGGAACATAGTTTTGGGCATACTCTGACTGCAAGAATGTTTTCCACTGACTAATGAATAGTTCATCATTTTCCTGTTTATTTCCCCATGCATCTTGTGGTGGTGTTTTCCATGGCTTATACCTCAATAATTGATACTTACAGCACAAGCCAAAATTGGGGCTTTTTATGCTTGAAGAATGTGTAGGAAAAACCCTTGGAATTAGGTTTTTAGGCTGAGTAACCAATTTGCCAGAAACGAGTTTGTACTTTGTTGCAAACTCAAGAAAGTTCATATTTGTCAAGTTGCATTTTAAATCTGCTTGATATCTGTCTCGTTGAGCATATGTATCAAGTAAGCTATCTGTTGTTACTACTTCATCGGGTGCATCAGACAGGTTAAGTCTACGGGAGCCATTCAAGTTCACAGGAAATACTATGAAGGATGAGCTGAAAAAATTAAGAGAAAGCAAATGGAGCATTGTTTCCTGTGCAGAAAAATCTCTCTGACCTAGTGTTTTCATGATAGTTTTCTTTATCATTGTTGTGGCATCGGCAGTTGACTGACAGTTGTGAGCAATAGCACTGAATGTGTTCTTAAGCAGGTGAGATCTTGTTTCACTCTTTGCTGTATACTTTGCCAGGTACTCAACACAGGCCTGGTAATCTGCAACAAGTTGAATATCACAGTTTGCACGCCAGCCTTGAAGCTGAAGTCTTTGGTGACTGATAAGTCTAGAGTCATTCCTTTTAGTTACAACTTGTATTTTATATCTTGGTGCGTTATCCTTGGAATGAATAAGTTCAAACTGTAATGAGGTTTTTTCATTAAGTTGAAATGGGAAATTAAACCTACATTTGGGTTCTTTTTCATTTCCTTTTTTTCTTAAACAATAGCTGGTACTGCATCGAGTGTGCCTTTGAATCATGTTTAATAAATCGATATAGTCATTGTCAGATTCTTTAATATCATTATAGTTTTTTTGACAGGGATGAATAATTGGTTTTATCGAATTGCCTTCATCTGGAGGATCTGGGTTACAAGTAGAGAGAATCCAATCATAATACTGGCAGATTTTTTCACTAGCTATTTTCCCATTAATTACAGTTAAACTGTCAGGTGTACTTTCATCTTCAGAATCATCTGCCAAGTATCCTTTTAGTGCAGTCACTCAATTTGCACAAATCTGGATCATTGTTTAATTTTGCAACACCGTGACAATGAATACTACCTCTGGACTGATATTCGAATCTATACCAATGCCATTTGGCATCAAGTGTGTTATATAACCAATGTTTAATAAAGCTCTTAAACCGTTCTATATAGAACCAATCAACTATGTGAGGGTTATCAATGACATTCTGGCGTCTTACATCAGGAGAATTCTCATTGCCATTTGTATTACAGGTATTTTGTAAAAGGTCATGTACTTGTGGCCAGTGCATATCTGCTGAGGAAAATGTGAAAAAGAAAGTTGGAGGACCCACATGTTGGATGATTTCTTTTAAATCTTCTTTTGCCTTAAACCAATGGGCATCTGAACCAGTTATATTGGTGATGTACCGTGACAATTTTGTCATCAAAAGATTGCTTTGATTATTTGTAATCATATCTCTTAACTCTTGCAATGTTAAATGTTTTTCTCCCGGATTTTGCTTAAAAAATATTCCAGTTTGTTGAAGAATTTGTTTACATTGAATCATATTTAAAGCCTAGTAAGAAAATCTTGGATGATTTGCAAAACGATAACACCATTTATTATCTTTTCTCTCTCCAAATTTAATAAGGTGTTTGATCTTTTCCTTAAGAGTAACATTTTTTAACAGGGACGGGTTTGTTGGATCCCCTTTACTATCTGGAAATAGTGTTGGGAATGCCAAAAATGCGGTGGTAAATTCATTTAAAGGATTGTCGCTTGAACTTGGCCAGTCAATATGACCTTGTAAAACTTGCTGATTTATTGAATGTTTTCCTGTTGTTGGCTATTATTTATTGGAAGAAAGCTTGAAGTATCGACATTTGTATTATAAACATTGTCGTCCTCTTCATAAACAGGGCCACGATCTGGACCACAGTTAAGGGTATCATCAATAACTTTCTCTTTTGTTTGTATGGAAAGAAATTGTTGGGGTACTTCATTCTCTGGTAAAGATACAAGTGCTCGATAATTTATTTCAATATCTGAATAAAGTGGATTGTGTCTTGAAAGCCAATGTATCGCATCTGATACAACTTGTCTTCTTAAAACAAGATCTTTAAAATCGTTTACTTTCCCCTTCTTCCGGACAACAATAACAGGTAAATCTTTAGGATATCTTGGGAGAGAATGTGCCAGTTCCCTAATGTTTTGTGGTATATTTATACAATGCCCTGAGAAGCCTCTTTGTCTTCCTGGTTTGATATAAACATGAATAATGGGAAGAGCACGAGCTATTAGCATTTCTTCCACTTGTGTTAAACCACTTTGTTCTTTTGGTACAGCTGAAGGCACCATAAGGTTTAAGAAAATTTCTTTACAATATCCTTTTCTATGGAGCATCTTGTGCATTGATAATTATTTATGCATTTAGGAGTGGACTTTAATGGCCATGCTTCAAAACAAGTTTTGCATTGGTAAATAGTATAATTGTTTGAATTATGAAATTTTGATATGTTCTCCTTTGCCCATGGTTGCTCATGTAAAGGACTTAAATTTTCTGTATAGCAGTTTGATAAATATTGTTCTTTTGAAACTGTTACATTAGGAAGTGATGGTCTAATGGATACTTTCTTTTTTTCAAGATTTTTTTAATTTTCTTTATATCTGTGTCGTTTTGCTTCTAGTCTCTCTTTGTGCTGAAGTTCTGTTTCAGATAATTTGAATTTTAGATATCTAAGAGCATTTGTATTTCTACCGTGTGGTACTGTAGAAACATAATGTAAATCCTTTATGTACCCAACAAACAATACTTTTGTTATTTTCCGGTCACCAGATGGAGTAATTGTTGATCCTTCTGGGCATGAGAGCCTTGACTCAATTATATGAACGACACAATGAAGTTGATTGGCTACAGCCTGAATAATAATATTATCACACCATGTCCCAGGAGGGGTCATTCTTTGCAAATACATTTGCCATGAATGCTCTGATACACTTTCCACAAACAACTCAGGATGTTCTTGAAGACATTTAACACCTGCTTGCCTTATTTCAATGTGAAAGTCAGGAGAACCATAATACTGATGAGATACTGATCGGAAAAAGCAATCTCCACAGCCTCCAACATCAAATGGCTGTAAACCCTTCTGTAATAGTCTATTAATCAAACGATCACAGGAGCTCTCTGCAGTATCAATCTGATTTGACTGGCTAATTGTAAGATTCATACCACCAGAAAGAAACGGAAGTACAAACTGTTTTCTCACTACAATACTTTTATTTCTAATATCTCTTTTGTTGGAATTAAATGTTCGTGCAGTTGTCTTGTAAAAGTATTGACAGAAACAACTTTCACCAGAATATCTGGTAATCCAAAATGTGACGTTACTTTTTTTGAAGAAGTAATGCAGTTCGGAAGACATTGGAACCTTTTGTTTTAAAAGAATTTTTAAATGTTTTCTTTTCTTTCTATGATAATACAACCGCACTAATTTCGTTTTAGGAATTCTAGAAGGTTCTCTGTTTCTCTTCCTGCGATGGGATTGCTTAGAATGAACAAAACACGCGTTTCTGCAACGGTGTTCTCTGGAAGGTTCTCTGTTTCTCTTCCTGCGATGGGATTGCTTAGAATGAACAAAACACGCGTTTCTGCAACGGTATTCTCTGGACTGAGCAACCAACATGCCTTTAAATACTCTGTTCTTCTGGGCGCTTAAATTACATGGAAGCACACATTTACTTTCCAAAGGAACAGAACGATACTTTCTTAGCAATAGCGGCAATGCTAAGATAATAATTGGACTCCATTTTGTTAGCCGTGATAATTTTTGTTTAGGCACTGCGTTTGGTTGAATAATTACAAGCTTAGCTGATCTGATTTCTGACATTTGTGGTGACCAAACTGGGTCAAATTTGGGAAAACTGTATTCCATTTTGTTACCCGTGATAGTTCTAGTCTAGGCTCTGCGTTTGGTTGAATTTGTGGTGACCAAACTGGGTCAAATTTTGGCAAAACTGTGCCGTCGTTTGATTCGACTCGTTTGCATGGTGACCAAACTGGGTCAAGAGGCCAAAAAGTCAGTTTGCCTTTTCCGCTTCGAGATAAGCGCGACATCTGCGGCAGGAGGCTTGGAAAACTTCGCCATACTTTCCGTACAGACAGTGTTTTATACGTCAGCTCCGTGATCGTGAAGCGAAACATGTCAAACGGCTCCTTCAAAAAGTGAAAGTGGTTTACCAGAAGATTTAACCGCCCAGAACAGTAATCAGTATTAAATATAACACAACTAACCTTACCTTCACAGCTACAAAAATTCAAATCCCAAGCAAATGGTCCAATTGCGCTAAAAATCTCCTACAGCTACAAAAACTCAGCCCCGCTTCAATCCGCAGCAAATCCAAATCCACTCGACACTCGCCTCAACAACGTCAGCAAAACGTTCTTCGATCTTCCATGTGACAGAAGCTTGGATCACATGTGATAACGTCAGCAAAAAACGTCCTCTGATCTTCCACGTGACAGAAGCCTGGATCCCATGTGACAAACTGTTCTGCTTGACACATTTTTCGCATTCTGATCGTTCTTAGGTGCAGAATAAATTTTCAACTTCTGGTTTGAGCCTCCCTGTTATAAACGTGGCACGCACGTGTAATACGCAATCCGTTGGTCACTGTCAAGATTAGGGTTGCGGGCCTCTCTTGGGCCCACAATAATTAAATCAGCTAATTAACCAGTGAATAGATAACCTAATCAAACCAAATAATTAAATAAGTGAATTAGATAAAAATAAGAAAAGCGATTCAGTATACCTGAGTCCTCCCATCCCTGAATCAATAATTACAGAGGTGTTTTTACAAGAGATCAAATAAAGAATCAATTCCAAAAAAGGTTATAATGTGATTAAGTCTGATGTGATTGAATATTTTGTCCACTTCGGTCTGAACTGTCCAACAGAAGTTATTCAATGGTCTGATAACCTGAGATTGAATTATCTTTATAACAGTACTCAGTATCAAAACTTGAGGAGTGTTTTATGTGGATCCTATTGTCTGTGTTACATCAATAAATGAAGGAAACAATAATATTATTGTAATGTCGTAAAACCATTTTCACATACGAACACCAATCCCAATGAAAAATTGATCAAACAATACTTCAAAATATGCAAAGTTAATCCTTGCATCATTTCAGTGGCGATTATGATGGTTGCCTGGTTAAGAGTAGTTTCAAATTTCTTCAGTGGTTTCTGCATTAAGGAGTTCCAGTACCAAATTTCTGAATGTCCTTTGGGTGTGATCCTTTTGCCCTCTGATTAAGAGACAGGGCTGTCGTTAGATTTTGAAGAAGGTGTAACACTCAAGAGTACGTCTGTAACATGTAAATACTTGGCCCGAGGCCATGAACAAAGGCCAAGGAGTGAACTTGTTGTCTTTCAATGAACTGCAAAGCCTTGCCTATACCCTCTTCAATCAGGCGGTGTGCACACTCCGATTACGTTGCATCATGGTAGCTTCATTTTCAATATGGCGGTGAAAGCGACATTTTGACTGAACATTCCGTAAAAGTTAGGCCGCTGCTTTTTTTTTTCACCATAGGTAAATATAACCTGATTTATTCTGAATGTGTAAAAGTATTTTTTGTACGTATTTGTCGCGTATTCTATGGTTCTCAAGGACAAACGCAATCACTGTTTTTTAGTATGTAATTTGAGACCGGTTTACGAGAAGGTCAAATTTGATGTACGTCGTAGTTTGGAGCCTTTCAAAGATGTGGATGGTCGCTTTGATCC